CGGGCGCTGCCGCTGTCGCGGGCGGCGCGGCGCAGATGGCGTACGGCCACCTCGCGGGTGACGAGGCTGCGAAGCAGGCCGGGAAGGAGGCCGTCTGGGGGAAACAGTAGACGGCGGACGGAGACGGCAGATAATAAATGCTTTGGTGGGGACTCAAGGCACTTGTACATTAGACGGAAAGCTTAGGCACTTGTTTTGGGTGCACTTGAGAAAGAGCAAGTGCCTGTGGCAGTTGTCCGAAAGTCGGTTCAGTGTAAAGTTTTGTGCTCGAGAGCTTGACGGCTCGAAGTTAGAATAGCCAAGACACCGATGAACACCATGCGTCTGCGTAAGTCTTAACGTCTGCTGGTACTGCGGGCATTAACTATATGGGATTGCTAGGGGTACCTGTTCAGAGTGTTCCGGCGATTTCATCTATGATGACAAGTGCCTAGGCACTTGTATCAAACACATCTGTACACACAGCATCTTTTGCGCGACACATAAAGCGTCAATCAGCTTTCGCTCACACTATCGTCTAGGACGATAGCTATGGCGGGGCCGTCCTCTCTCCCCGTACCTCGGCCCTCTGTCTGCCCATCATCCGCCGCCTCCTCTTCTGTGGGCTTTTTCTTCGGGCGCGCGGCTTCGACCAGCTGCGCAAACTCTGCTCTGTTCGCAGCCTACCACAACAAAACCGACGACGCATATACCCAGTCAAATTTTCCCGCGTGGCACGCAAGAGTTCCGATGCAACGCACCTGGTACGCCACGGCGTCCGTCACGACATGCCTCTGCTTCCCGCTGGCAGCCGCGCGCAGCCCGTCCTCCCATGCGCGCAGGTCGCGCCGGAGCTGCGCGCGCGTGCGCCGGTCGGACGAGGCGCGGTCTGCGTTCGCGTTGTGCATCATCACCCATCTGCGGCGCGGTCGTCAGCGAGCGAGGGATGTCCCGAGGGTGCGCTTACTTTTCGTGCCGCCGCACCCACGCGGCGCGCTCGCCTGTGGTGGGCAGCTCGTGCTCGTGCAGGAGCTCGAGCAACCGCTTGTCCTTGATGGTGTGGTAGGACACCTTCGGGAGGTACTCGTCCTCGGACAGCTCCCCGCCCGCTCTGCGCGATCCCGCGTGAGTGCGAGCAGAATGGAGACGTGTGTGGGACGCACCGTTCTTTTCCCTTCCCCTTTTCCTTTGCCCGGCGTGAGCTGCCACTGTCACTGCCAAGAAGCTTGGACCATTCCTGTTTCTGCTTGCCTTTGTGTGTGGTGCCGGATCCGGATGCACCCGTGGACGAGGAGGACGTGAATACGCGGCAGCTGCTGTCAATGTGTTGGTTGATCACGTCGAGCGGGACGCGCTTTTGACACAGCGGGCACTCGACCGGACCTATCGATGTGTGTCAGCGACTGTCAGCAGTTGAGTCTCGACGGGATGCGCACCGTCGGTGTTGTCGGGGGTGCTAGGTGATTTCGGTGTCGATGAACAGGAAGAGTGCCGCGCGTGCTCTGCCGAGAGCCTCCTGACTTTCCCCGACGAGGAAAAATGCCTCGACGAGACACCCACAATCTCTACGTCGTCGTCGTGGATCACTTCCGACGAATGCGCTCGTCTCCGCCGCTTGTGTGGCCGCGCGCCCTCGATATCTTCAGCCACGCCATCAATGCCGTTCAACTGTGCGCGTCGCTCTTGCTCCTTGGAGAGCCGGAGGACGAACTCCCTGCACCTCCGCGTCAGGCTGCGTTCTGCGCGACTGTGAAAGCGGCACGTACCGCGCGAGCGCCCACGCCTTCACCGCACTCTCCATCGCGACGTTCTTGCGCAGATGTTCCTCGGAGGCGAACTTGCGGCACGCGGGACACTCCTGCTTTTCGTTCAGCACGCTCCGGATGCACTAGAGTGCGCACGATGGTCAGCGGCGGCCCAGCTTTGCAGAGAAGAGGAGTTCGTACGAGCGAGCAGTAGCAGTGGCCGCAGTTGAGGGTCATGGGCGCGGCGTACAGCTCGCGACATATGCTGCAGCGCAGAGCCTCATCGAGCTGGCGCAGACCGGGGGCGCTGTCGGACGGAGGAAAGTCGCTCGGGTCTGGGACGTCTGCGGCGTCGAGGAAAGACTGCGCATTGTTGAAGACCATCTGTGCAGGTTATGGAGTGAGCATGAGGGGTACGAGGGGAACTCGGCCGCCGTTGGTGGCAGCGCGTCGAGACGCGTCGCGAGCACGTGCCGAGTTGTGAGCGTCTACTGCTGGCGTCTAGACTGCGGACTCTGGGCCCCGGCGTCCAGTGGCTGCCAGTGCCAGCCCGAGTCTGTGCCCGCTCGAGCTCGACGGCGGCGGGGGGCGGCTTGCCTCGCTCCTGCACTGCTCCTGCACCACCCACCCACCGTCCTCGCCCGCCCATGTCGCTCCTCCCCGCCCCCTCGTCCCCCCTCGCCCGCGCTGCCCACATCCGCAACCCCGAGCGGCGGCGGACCCTCGCAGCCCTCGTGCTCGCCCTCGCCCTCCTCCTCCTCGTACTCTCCGGGCACGCCCAATACCGCCCTTCCCCATTAGACCCTCCCCTCCACACAGCACCCGCAGGACGCTGGAGGCTGCTCCCCGTAGACCTGCAAAGCATCCCCGACATCGAGCCTCTGCTGGGCCACGCGCTCTGGCCTCCCTCGCGGTTCGACCTGCGCCGGCGGTCCGCCCCGTCTGAAGGACCTCTCTCTCTCCAGACACCTGCGTCTCAGCGGCCGCTGCACCTGACTCCCGACTCCATGCCCAGCCCAGAGCCCGCGCGGGACATCGCAGCGTCGGCGCAAGACCTGGCAGCCTCGTTCCGGGCTATTGCCGACAGAGAGGACAGACCGCGACGGCACATGGCCAAGCAAGGCACGAAGGGCAAGAAAACATAAAGTTGGACCCGCACCCGTGCCCAGTCGGCGACTCAGAAGAGCCTGTGGTCAAGGCTGCAGTGGAGACACACGAGCCTAAATTAATGTATGAAATAGAGAAGTGAAAGTTGTATTGTGCCCTGCCCGTTGTATTCATACCTGTACCATACGCCGTGTCCACATGTATTTCATTCTCTTGCGCATAACGTCCCGTTGCCTGCCCGTCCGACCCACAGATCAATCGTCCCGCTCAATCGGCCTCAACACCTGCAGCCGCCTCACCGAGTCCTTCAACTCTGCCTCCGCAAACTCCGCAGCCTCCTTCGCGACCAGCAGCTTCTGGTCCAGCTCGTCCGCCGTCATCGCGCGCAAGCCCCCCTCCCCATGCACCATCCCGAGCTGGTCGAAGCGCGCGAGCGAGTGCCCCGCCCGCGGCAGGAACCCGTGCACGTCCCACCCGCTGTCGTTGAACGAGAGCACCGCGCGCACCGCCGCCGTGTTGATGTCCCGGTGCAGCTCCTCCAGCTTCGACAGCTGCACCTCCATCCACCGCGCGCGCCGCTCCAGCGCAAGCGTCAGCGCCGCCACCTCGTCCTCCTTCTCCTGCCCGCTCTGGTCGTCTCCGCCCTCGTCGAGAAAGTCGTCGCCCTTGAGCATATCCCGCAGCACCCCGTCGAAGGACGAGTTGTCGTCCCACGTCTTGCGCGGCAGCAGCCGCAGCAGGTCCGAGATCGTCTGCGTCAGCGTCTCCAGCAGCTGCTGGAACGACGACACCGCGTTGTCGATCGACCCCGACGGCATGTTGTTCGCGAACGACCCCCCGCCGACCGACAGCGCCGACAGCGCATGCACGAGCGGCCCGTACTCCAGCGGCATCTTCGCCGCAGGGTTGACCTTCGTCAGGTCGAAGAACGGGTGCTGCGAGATGCGCATCCACGGGAACTCGCGCTCCAAATCCACCAAAAGCTTTTCCACAGGCGCCGCCTGTGTTCCGCTCACCGGGTCGACCGACTGCGCGCGCGAATTGTTGGAGCTGCTTTCGGTCGCACGGCTGTCTGGGAACGTCGGTGCTTCGGACGTGGCTGCGGAAGGAAGAGCAGATGCAGTCTCGCTAATCGGCTCCTCCTTCGGGATCTTGATAGGTTTGGCCACGGGCTTGTTCTTCTTAGGCATCTTGGACAAGATCGGAGTTTGGGTCGCTGCGGATTCCTGAGCAGATGTCGCCTGTTTGGCCGGTTGCGATCGTCTTGTGCCCTTCTCGAGCGTAGGCGACTTGTGTGGCTGAGAGGTCACGGTGTCGTCAGCTTTCTTAGCCTGCGCAGCCACTTCCCTCTCTTGTCGCTCCTTGAGCGCCCTCTCCTTCTCTGCCTTCTCCTTCTCGGCTCGTTCGCGCTCGACCTTCTCCCTCTCGACCTTCTCTTTCACGGCCTTTTCCTTTTCGGCTTTCTCCTTCTCGGCTTTCTCCTTCGCGGCTTTGGCCTTCTCTGCCTTCAAAGCGGCAAGCCTCTCTTTTTCCACGGCTTTCTCCTGTGCGATTCTCTCCTTCTCTGCGGCCCGTGCTAGTGCTTTCTCCTGGGCAAGACGTTGTCTCTCTGCCGCCCGTTCCGCAGAGGCCGCCGCTTTCGCCGCCTTGCGCTCCGCTCTGGCCTGCGCGTCGCT